TGACCTATTTTTTTTTTATTTGTCTTTTCTACTATATCATCTAGTTTATTTTTTTTAACTATAATTTTATTATTTATCATTGTATTTTTATAAAAATTTAAATTAATTTTTATTTATGTTAATTAACTCGTGAAAAGAAGATGTTTTGAAAGAAGGCTAATCATCCCCGTTCGAAATGATAATTATATAGAAAAACATATTATGAAACGCAAATGATAATTAAGAACACGGTTTATATTCAAATTATGCTCTTTTCCTAATAATTTTTCAATCTCTGTTACTGTGCCAGAACTTTTTACAGACTATACTATTTTTTATATATATAAAAAACCCTTAAAAGATCAGATCATTTTAAGGTTACAGAGCAAACAAAATAATGGACAGACATGCTTGCTAGATAGATATTTTCAGCCATGGGAACAGTTCTTTACATTAATGTAGCAGCGTGATTTCATGGCATTTTTTAAAATAAAAACAACACATCTGGCTGGAAAGAGAGGCCCAGACACATATATGGTCCTGATCTCTATCGTCCTCCTGTAAACTTTACAGCTGTGACCAAGAAAAGAGTAGAAGGAAAATTACATGATGTTTTTTTGTCCTAATGTGATTTATTAATGGAACAATAACAGGGAGAGACCTGGTCAAAAGAACGCTTAAGATCAAAATGGTATAAAGCTTTCGCCATGATCACATTATTCTACAATTATTGGTGTAGAGACAGACTGACCTCACCATCTCTGGGCCTCGAGGGCAAGCTGTTTCCCTTTGAAAAAACAACAATCTCCCTCCTTCTCTCTCTAGAATCATGAGCACTAGGCATTTACACATCTACTTCCTAGCTAGCAATCATCCACGCCCCACTGCAAATTAACCTGAAAGTAGAGAAACCAAAAATAAAAAGAAAAATAAGATTAAAAAAAAAAAACAAAACAGGACATCTCTCCACAGCATGAAAGATTGTCTCCCGGATTCAAAATCTCCCACCCTTCACCTTTTTACTTTTTATAGCATGAGTGACTCTTCGGCTCTTCCGTCAAACCTACTGCAAACCAAGACCCTTTTTTTTATGTCCTCTCTTAAATTTTGCTTTTGTGGGAAGACTTGCCGTTTTCTTCGCTAAATTGTCATTGCTTGTGACATGGTTTATGCAGAATAATGTTTAAAGCTCCTTAAATCTCATGCAGTTGGCGAGTGGTTGAGGTTTTTTTTTTAATTTAAATTTTGTATTTGAGATGATTTATTAATCCTTTTAATATATCAGAGGAAGGTGCACTGTTTAAATTATTCAAAAAAAATTAATTTTAATTAACACCCAAACTTATTAGAAAATATATATCATCATGATGAATAAAAAAGTCGTATAATTAAAGCTTGTAATTTTATTATACTTTCAATGTAATTTTATTATACTTTCAATGCATATGAATCCTAGATATTATTATATTTATTGAATTTTGGCAATTAAGTCTAATTTTATTCAGATATATGTGATTCGTACATCAAATTATATTGTTCTGTATTTTTATAGATGTATGGTGTGTTAGTAACCATGCCAAGTGTCCACTCATTGTACATTTTTTTTTTTAGATTAACGTGGGTATCCGGGCCAGCTTGCACGCACCACGATTAATCCCACGGGTCTTTAAGTTAACGACCATGTAAGTCTCCAGTGGCCATCATATGAGCAACCAAGGACTCGAACCTGAAACCATAGAGGGAGCAAACCTCTTAGTCCCAAGTCTTTACCACTTGGCCATCACCTAAATGATTATGATTATACATTTTTATACATCAGAGAAGTGCTAGATTAGTATCGGTGCGTGAAGCTTGTCTTGATTATGGGGTGTTTGTTGTAGATTTTGCTTCTATTTTTAAGTGCTTTTTAGAAATAATATTGACTTGAAAATATATTAAATTAATGATTTTTAAGTGATTTATGATGACTTTAATGTGTTAATATTAAAAAGATTATTTTAATATATTTTAAAATAAAAAATATTTTTAAAAATACTATCCACCACAATCTCAAACGCCCTTCCACCATCATCTTCGTCAAAACAGAAAGAAAAAAAAAAAGAGCAAGAAAACACATCTAAAAAATCTAATTCAATTTAAGTTACAATGATCCACGCTAACATAACAATTGATGAAGTTACAATGATCCACACTAACATAACAATTAATGACGACAGTCTTGCATCATATTTTGTAGATTAATTTAATTTTTTTTTCACAGGTGGCTGGCATGCACTGCTTAGATTAACATAAACTATGTTAGTGTTCAACACGTGAAAAAAGGAAGAGAAGCTCCAAGGAGCAAAAAATAAAGAAATAAAGCAAAAGAAGTACCAAAAGGGGTGATGAGCATGCCCTGTATTTAAAATCCACTATAATAGGGCATCATGAATATGTGTGGCAATTTAGGAAGTCTGACCAAGAAGAACATGTGGACTTTATAGCGTAGTGGGCACTCTCGACTTTTGTGATATACTACTTTAACTTATAAAGATTATGATGATTAAATTAAATTGTTGATCGAAGTCAGTCCAATCCCATTAATAACAGCCCAAAAGGAGAGAATCAAGAAAGGATTAGTCTACGCTAAAGCTATGCAGTGCAAACCAATTGTTTAGAGGGGAGGAAAAGGCACCAGTAAGCATTCTTTTGACTGTCGTTTTGTTCATGCTTGCTAGGGTTATACTATTTAATTGAACAATCAAGAACTCAAGATCATCGAGCTTAAGCTCAAAATGAGAGAGCACATACAGCTACGTTCGCAATCAGCCAACACAAGAGTATCGCCACAATTCTCTCTCTCTTTTTTTTTTAAAAAACAACGATGCTTTTATAGCGTGCTAGTAATTCCCTCTCCATTTGTTTCATAAATTACTCTTTAAACGAGTTTATTGTGTTAACTCTTGGAAGGGAATGTCATGCAATTATCAAGCCAACCAGATATGGCAACAGAGGGAAACATTAGCCAGATATGATAAGAACACCCGAAAATACATGATATCACAGGCTTCTCCCAACGACAGCGACGTACATTGTCCTATACGTATATCAGCAATCTTGCCTTTTCCTCATAATAATTCACGTTATATATATGAACACAGGGGTATGGCTACACATGTCAAGGAAGAAGAAGATATTAATTTGAGTTCTTAATCAGAGTTTGATAAATAGAGATTAATGTAATATTTTAATAAGTTCTATGTGTAAGTTATTTTACATGTGACTGGTTTCGAAAAAAATCTTGGTATTTTCATTTTTTAAGAGATTTAACAAGGGATATCTTGGATATATAAAATCCGATCATGCATGTAATGTATTCCACGTTTGCCTGTATATATATCATCAATCTTGTTTTTCTTGCTCGTAATAATTTATGTTATATAAAAAGATGGTGTAGTGTGCTTAGATTTTTGAGAAAATGACCCGTATATCTCTCTATAAAAAAATACATAGTAAAAGAAGATTTGAGATTTTAATTAGAATTCAAATATTTAACACTTAATTTTGATAATTAAGTTGTACGTGTAAGCTATTCCACACATAACAAGTTCTGAAAAGAAAAAATGGTATTTGTTTTTTTTTAAAACTAATAAAATGTATTGTTTTGAATATATGAAATTCAAATCTGGTCATATGCAAGTCACACAATGTGTGCTCATTAGTATATAAAAATAGTTTAAACATAACCTCTAAAATTAAAAAATATATAAAGACATTCACTTCAAGATTAGAACTTGTTATATTTCTCATCGCGTCTGCTAATTTTGTTGTCTGTACGTATATGGGAATTCTTAGAAGAAGGAAAACAAAATAAAATCCTATGCGATTAATGTTTCAAATTCCAACCAATCCTTGTGTTGAAACTGTATTGTCGTTGTAAATCCTGTATGTATAGTAATTTTCTAGAATGAAAATGAATAGTTAAGATTTGCATGTCAAAGGATCTCTTCCTATATTTAGCACGCAAATAAATCATTTAATTATTTTTAGTGTAAATAAAATGCACTAGGTATTTTGATTTTTTTTTATTTGGGTCAGAATTTTTCGATCTTGTGATTAAATTTATCAACATTTGCATGCTGAGATGACAGGATGAATTAATTTATAGGAATAATTTCTTATTTTTTCCACCTCATGAAATTCACTATTGCAAAAATATATCCCTGCTATCAAAGAAAAAACCAAGTATATTCGCACAATTGCATCAGAAGGAAAATGAAGACATAGATGCTATGAAAATGGTCATCGACGTCAAATACCGGGCATAAACCGGACTCAACCTTCGTGGACTAGCTCAGGCTCCAGCGAGTAGAGAAAGGAAGAAGTCCCCTGTAGTCTACTATGTGGCCTATTCCAAGAGTTCATTACCCTACAAACAGTACTAGGAACAAAAAAGTGTAGAATATCGAAGAGCAATAGATGGTGGTTTTTAAGTTGGGATTAGGTTATTGAGTAGAGAGAGAGAGAGAGGGAATTACGGTCACACTCGACTACAAAAAGAAGGTTGGCTCTTCTTGCGAGGTCAAAACTCTCTCGATCAAAGTCTCCCTAAAACCAAACCCCATAACCCCACTGACCGACAAGCTGCTCCTCTCTTCACATGCAAACAGACAGTCCCATCATCTCTAACTAACTATTATTTATCCTTAATCATCCAGTGTTAGTAGTTTAAATAATCAATTAGTAGTAGAATATTAATTTATTGATGCAAGGTACCGATTTGTATTTGACAAACTTATAAATACATCTGCTGTCATTCTGCCCTCAGAAAAGATTTTTCAGAACAAAATCTTAAATTATTCACATGGAGAATTGTCTAATTCCTTCCATCTTTAATTCTAAACAAGACTTGATTCAGATTCAAGCAAATAGGAGCAAACAAGAGAGCATTAATACAAATGAACAAAAATGATTCTGAGTTTATTTTATGAATATAATATTAATATGTCCATATAAAGTATGCTGTCAAAGAGACTTATACATGAAAAGGAAGTGCATGCGCCAAAGGCATTAATAAAGGAGATGACTCTCTTGCCCTCTTCTTTAAAGGGCCACCCTCTCATATGAAGATTACCTATAGCGGGGAACTTTGGAATTGTCAAGATAGGACGCAATTTAAAGAGGCCTTAATAAACATAGTAGAAATATTACTATGTGGCAGATGCCTAGAGAGAGAGAGAGAGATTAACGCGGGCTGCCAATAATGTCCACAAAGACCCATTGCTCTTGGGTTCTGCCCTTCTTAAACAGAGTTTCTAGTGACGAAGAGACCGATGACCCTTGCAGAGGCGTAGGCTCGAACTTTCTCTTTTTAGGCTTGTTATTGGCAATGGCTCGAGTCCTCGATAGCTCAAGAATCAGATCATAACAACCATTTACTTTTTCCTGTTAACAAAGAAATGCAGCCGTTGAGCCATTAATGCCATGCGCAATAATGAGTATATAATGTGGCTGTGTTAAGGACTTAAATACGAGACAAAAATAATGAATGATGACAAGATAAACGATACCTTGGTTATCTTGAGAACATTAAGAAGCTGGGTCTGGTAGTCAATGGGATTGAAGGTCTCAACTTGGTCTATAACATGCATCATTGTAGCAGTGGCCAACACAGAAGGAAGATAACAGCCAGATCTTGAATCTACATCAACAACAGAAAACCCCATAAGAAACTCAACGTAAATCAAATGACGAGAAAGTCTTTTCTTTACTCTTTGTTCTTATCGAAAATTCTAAATGAGGGTCAAAATGGGATTTTGAAGACAGCTATATCCTATACTTACCAGAGACAACATAGAGCAGGAGATGCTCACATCTCCTGAGAAACTCCCAATGAACATTGGTCTTTAATCCAAGCCTCCTAATGATATGATCAAGAAATGAAAGTGGAGTCACTGGGTGCATCTTCCATTTCAGTGTTGAAAGCACTAGTAGCTCCATCCTTTGAATGGTTTTGGCCTCGAATAAATATTTCGTGTCTTCTACCTAAAACAGAACAAAAGAAAACCTCTAAATACCAATCTTCGAATTAGCAAATGATAATGATTAAATGACATTGATGAAGGGTTTTATATTGACGTACTTGGAGGTCTAGCAGAAGAGGAACATGAGTCTCTTCAACTTTGGCAGCCAAAGAAAGACAAGTGACAGCCACAAGCTGGATCATCCATGGTCTATTATCTCTTTGATAACAAGGGCTAACAAGAAACCTATCTAGATAATTGATAGCCAAGATTGATGTGAGAGCTGAAAATCCATGATGAGCAATGACCTTAAGCATCCACTCCACAGCTTCTTGACGAGCCCTGGAGAGAAAAGGATCGCTTGCCACATTATTGACACTAACAGAAGCTTGTTGTTCTTGTTCTTTAGAGAAGAGTGAGAGAAGCTCCTCATCTTCCCAGAACAAATCTTGTTCAAGCAATGAAATCGAAAACAGATCGCCAGAGGGGTTGTTCACGGAAGAACTCTCTTGCAAAACCTCTTCTTCTGAATCATCTTCCCATTTCCCCTCTTCACAATAGAGTGCATCTAGCAAGAATGAAGTGTTCTGTTCTTGCTGTGTGCTTAGTTCATTTTGCCCGAGTTCTTGTTGTTTAGGTATTGCCATCTTCTTCCAAGAAGAAGAGGTTTTGGCACACTATTCATTACACAAGGGAACCCATTGTCCCCCCCCACCTCTCTCTTTTTTCCCTCGAGGGTCTTTCTTTTTCTCTGGGTGGTGCAAGATAGAGAGAGTGGTAGCTAAGGAGCGAAGAGAGGATGATAGAGAGTGAGAAAGAAAAGGAGGGGGGAGGATTGATTTTTAACAGGGCAGGTTTCACGCTTGTCTCTTTTTGTGGTTTTTTTTTTTTTTTTAAGTGGCAATATAAAGAAGTTTGTGGTTGGATTTTTTTATTTTTTATTTTTTATTTTTTATTTTTTGCTTTCGGTGTGTCTGGTTTGGCGGGCAGAAAATGTACGTAGCGGCACACACACCAAGCCGGGCCCATGAAAACAACCTCTTATAGCAACCTAATTAAAGTCACTGTGCTCTATTCTGCTCTGGAATTTATAAAGATGGGAGGGACACGCAGAGATTTTGGCATGGGAAGAAGAGTTTTCCGCTATGTAATTTAGGGTTAAGATATGCTATCGCAGAAGACATAAATTGTATCTCTGTCAAGTTGCCAATAACGAGCAAAAAGGGAAGAAAAGAAAGAGTCGAGGATGGGAAAGATCAAAGATCCGAACCCATTTAAGAGTTGGAGAAAATATAGATGACAATTAAACTACAATTCCTGAGACATATCAAGATAAAATCATCTCATTGAGAATTAAACTCATAAATGCATGCTTGATTGTTGTAACTTGAAGATTTACACATTGGTTTTAAGATCGTTGTCGTCAAGATTTTCTTTTGGAGTGAAGATCACGCAGATGGAATTTTAATTATTTTTACAAAGTATTCCAAATCTAACCATAAATTATGATACGTTTTAGTTTCATCATGGATAATGTTTTTGTCAAATGATCTTTACAGCAAAAGCAAGGCTATACTCACCCCTGTCACCGTCACTTTTAAAAGAGGAATTTAGAAAAAATAAAACAAAACAAGAGAAAAAAGAAAAAGAAATCACGAGAGGGTTTTGAACAAAAAAAATCTTGTATTTTGCTTGTTGTTCTGAAGAAGAAATTTCCAAAAAGACAAACCACAGAGTCCACGCAAGAGAACAAGCCAAGGCCCTTTCCATCCACGCGAAGTTACATATTCTTTTCCACGCGTTCCCAATCCAACACACAAAGTCAACTATCTTACCAGTCAGCTGGCTCACTGTCTTTGACTGCGTGTGGCGAACAACATACAGAACATCCACCAGCTGACTCTCGATCACTTCTAGCTAGTCACCATTTTTTTTTTAAAACAACAAAGAAAGAATAAAAAATGGATCCAAAAGAAAAGTCATTAAATTTGATGGTGTCTTGTCGTCTGCGGTGCGGCCAGATAATAAGGAGGTCCTCTTCCTTCTTTCGCAACTGGCATGCACGCAAAAGCTCACCCTCTCTTGGCCTCTTCCTATTTTTCACTGCTCCAGATTTTTATTTGTTTTGACTTGTTTTTGGCATCAATTATGGATTTTTTTCCCTTCTGCAACCACAGTAAAGGCAGGTAATATTGCAAATGTACCGTAAGAGATTTTGTGGGTGTCGCTGGAATAAGAATCTCACCCCAATTGATCAATGCAATCATGTAAGCGTTGTTAAGAGTACTGTTACATTAAGGAAAAGAATTCATATTCTACTGTTTTCTTGCTTCCGGTGATAATCTTGGAGCGAGAAAGAAAATCCTAATGGGTTGTAGAAATATTGAGATTAATTGTTAGAAGAGTTTAACTATGAATATGCAATGATCGTACTTGTAATTAAACTCATCGATCCCCATGCTCCTTTCAGCTAACTCCAATGAATTTCCTGAGCTAAACAGAAGTTCTGATTTTAATCTTAACTCGCGTCCAAATCAAACAGATGGATCATGTCTCCGCAGTGAAGGTCAGCATTATTGTTCTCGTCTCCAATTTTCCATGCGGTGGGTGAATATCGTGGAAACTATCAGCAGTTCAAACCAGTGGCATTGACCACTGTCTGCACTATATCTTTAAGAATTGAAGAGCATGATCATGTTTTGGACTGCTTGTCAAACAGTTCACATCTCGATTTCCATTTCTAGGGAAGTAATTTCTTCTTCTTTTTTAATGTACCTAACACATGTAAAATTATTAAACAACCCGATGGACAAAAGGGATTATTGACCTAACAGAAGTTAACACCGAGAAACTTCCAAAAACTCTTCTTCTCGTACGCAGACACAAGTTAACTTCCAAAACAACAACCCTTATATGATGATAAAAATCAGTACTCTTCCCCAGACTAATTTTGGTAGTTTGCATTTTGGATCTAGTTTAACCATCTGCATGCAAAAACATGGCTCAATTCCCACTCTATGTAAATTCTCTTTTACCAGTGTCATTTTGAGATGAAGGAGTACTTTAATTAATTGCATGATTAATGTAGTTGATTTCTAACACAAGCAACCCGTCTCGATAAGAATTGCTGCACTGTTACTAATGGCAAATCGAGCTCCACTTTACAATTATAGATTTCTTTATATTAGCTGTACCATCTTCTTTATTAATTGTCAAAATTAACAAACTTTAGCCCTACTTTTTGTTGTTTAAGATTTGGTCCTAAACAACACTCCCCCACTCACCAAATGATTTCTCCAGTAACGAAAAGACAGGCAGTGCTTCCGGTCTCTCTTCAAAGAAACTTAGCTTTGAAAAATAACCTCATATTTTGACGTGGCGTGACAGTTCCTCAGTTTTTCGTGGTTTAATTAAATTGATCATGACAGTGAACAGATTTGTTCTCACACTTAGGGCTTGTTTAATTCCTCTATTTATTGAGGGGTGGGGCATCATTCATTATATTATATTTTATTATATTTTTCATTGTAAAATTAATTTTAAAATTTAAATAAAAAACAGTAAATACAAACACTAACTATTGATTCAAAATCATGTTTGTTTTTGTATTTTAAAATTAATTGATTATTTTTAAATTAGTTTTTTTATATATTTTTAATTTATTAGTGCTAGAAATAAATTTTAAAAAATAAAAAAATATATTATTTAATAGATTTCTAAATAAAAAATATTTTAAAAACGTTTCAATTCCTAAACAGTGTTGCATGGCTGTCTACATCATAGAATAGCCAGGCCATTCATGAAAGACCCGGTCTAATAATAACCCACTATTGCGACTAATCAACCCTTAATAGTAAATGAAAAATCTCCGATGAAAATGAAATGTCGGGTCCCTCAGTACTTAAAATCAACTACAGTAACATAGAAAGAACAGGTTGCCATGCTTTTCAAGCACCTTCAACATTTTTTAGCAACTGTGGATGATTTTATTTTATTTTTTTTATCATGTTTCATTCTCATTGGCACCTTTAAAAATTCAAAAAAAAAAAAAACATCGAAGCACTCATGAGCTGAGACTTGAGAGAGGTAAATTTGTCATCCACCTTAACCAAAACCTTTGAAACTCACCAATCATGCCTCACTTTGCCTTTAACCCCCAAGGAATTATGTCTGCGTCCATCACAACTGCTTATAAAGTGACCAGTTGAAGAACTTGGTACCTTTGCCTCATCCACAACTAACTAGCCTCACATGGTAACCACTAAAAGTGCTCTCAAATTATGGCCGATCAGCTAGCGTATCAGATATATTTTGAATATTGTGACATTATTGTATATTCCAGTACTGCAAACCCAATGATTTACAGATGTTCATCATTAATGATTTTGTAAGATCTCAATTGATCAAGCTCATGTGTGATGATTATGATCAAACGCTGGAAGAGCATGCAGGATTAATACTAGAGATTCTAACCAGAAGACAGGTCGATATGCATGCATCTGCGAGCCCAAGTGCTTCTAGGTAACCTATCTCATCAACGCAAAGAGAAAAATGATTGGTTCTAACGATAAAGATTGGTTCTAACGATAAAGATTAACTTAGACTGTAAATGAATAGAGAAAGTAGCTACTCGTACTGTAATTCAAGAGTGAAAGCAACCACCCACCTAATAATTTAATTAATTTTTTAATTACCACTGTATATATTCTTTAATTACAGGCAGATGATGGCTCCGAATCCTGACCTTATCAAAAGCACATATCCTTCAGCAAGTAACAAGTCCATTTGTCAACATTTTGGGTTTTTCTTAGATAATTTTTTTTATAAAAAAATTAAGTCCTTGCTTGTAAACTTTAGGTGATGGATTATTTCAAGTATCACAAGAAGTACTTGTGACATTAGGTTCATTGCAATTCAAAATTCACAGGTTAAAATCTTATTTAAAAAGGTCATTGTGGGTATATAATTGCCACTCTAATTTTAGCACTAAGCTCAAGGTGCTTTCCAGCGTGGATATTGATGAATGGATTCTCTCGTGTTTGGAAAAAAAAAATTGTATATAATCAATTTATATTAAATAGGAGGGGAAAAAGAGGGGTTTATTCTCAATGTGTCCGAAAACTATTTTTTTTTAAAATCCCTTTTTATATTTCTTTGAAGACAATAACAGGAAAATAATAGACTACACACATAAAAAAAACCCTACACTTGAAGAATGTTATTTTATCTCCAATTGGTTCAATTTCTGTACTCTGAATCCTAGTTTATTTGTCAATATTTTTAGTTTTGGTTGTCCCAAAATGTTTGTCTAGTCACGTTACGTTTCTTAATCTCTATGAAAAGTCAAAAGAAACAAACAAAAAATGACATTATTAGAAGGTTGGAGCCATATTAGGTGATTTGTCACCATGTTAACTGCGTTTCTTAATATCTGTGAAGAGTTAAAAGGGGACAAACAATATATATTTTCTTGAATAACATATTTTGATGCATCTAACTTGTAAAACAGCAAGTGTTATCATACTTTTCATGAAACTTTAATAGCAAGTCATCTCATTATTTCATTAAATTTTAAAATAATAATTTAACTAATCAAATTTAAAATTTATTTTTAAAAGGTTACATAATCATTAATTTTAAAATTTATAAAATTAGTCGTGTAAACTAACTCAGATATTTATATTACTTAAAAAAAATACTAAATTATTAGTAAGTAACAATTTATGATTCATAATACATAATCTTTGCTATTCAAGGATTTAGGCTCGTCGTAAAATTTGCAATGGATATCAACTCATAATTTCGTGAGAAAACAACATTTCACGTGACTTGTATTCTTAAAGAACAAAGTTATAAATATCTAAATATAATTTATTACCTTGAAGATTGAAATAAAATATAGGAAACACGTTAAATAAAGTTATCTTTGTATCTACAATATATAATGGAGGTAGAATAACATTATGAAAAAATAACTAGTAATTAAATTTTGTTTAGCACTTGCTAAAATCGTACGCCCATTTATTTGTAGAGCATGCACGAGGAAATCTTGATCCAATGCTAATATATACCGAAAGGCTTCGAAATAAAGTCCAACCCATAGGGGCCATAACTGGCATCCTCCCGTCGCGCAGATGATCTATTCCTTCTCTACTTTGGACGATCTGAACTGCTAAACAAAGATTACCAGTCTTGCTCCAGTAAGTCTTAATTTACTTTGTAGATGATGGCAGGTTGGACCAAGTCTGTTTACCAAGAGCGTGATCCCTGGAGAGGGTAAGGATCTCTGTGAGTTTGTGTGTGTGGGAGGGGTAGCATAAAGCTGATTAGAACTAAAGGCGAGTAAAGTATAGCAGCAAGGAATATCTAAAACAGTCTGTGAGGCGGAAGCACACTGAATCTTGATATTGCTGACAAATGCCGGGGCAGCAGGTTATTAGCAGCCCAATAAAGAATCCAGCGAGTATACAAATTTTCTTGCAAAATGAGATTATTCATTGAGAATACTTTTTGAGTCAAGGAAAACACAAAACTCCTCGGTGCGGAGGAAAAATTAGCATCGCTAAATTCTAGTGTTCTTTACAGGGCAGTTCCTTCTGTTGGAAGAAAAAACAAGGGTTATAGGAATTTATGGATAGCAAAACAAAGATACAAAAGAAATAAGAATTTTTGAAAGGAAGGCAATCGTATTAAGTGTTTTAAGTGTTTTTCTTGGTGTAATCTGAATAAAATAATATTTTATTATCTTAACTGATCAATAGTTTTTAAATCGATTAACGAATTAATTTAATTTAACTGATCAATTAATTTCACTTTTTTAAAAAGTTAAAATTCAGTTTACTTTCAATGCATTCTACATGTTGCTTCTTCACACAAGACAGTATTTGAAATCTTGTATTTTTAAAATTTATTTTTTTATATTTTCATATTATATTAATATGCTAGTATCAAAAAATAATCTTTAAAAAATAATAATAAAATATTATTTTAATACATTTCTGAAAGAAAAACATTTTGAATCGCAACCATTATCAATCTCAAAAACTCCAAAAATTATTATTTTAACATCATTACCGGGATGAATATCAGTATCTAAGCATCATGAGAAGTCTCCTTATACTATGATTTTCACAAAACTTATAACAAAACTCACCCCTTATCTGTACTTCGTGATTTTATAGAATAATCATTTTTTCTTAACTAATGCTTTAAACTTATGTAAGCAATTAAATACATTAAACTTTCTCTTTAAAAAGCATACTCATGTTCCACTATAATCATCAATAAAAAATATAAAATTTTATCAAATGAGCATTGCTGAATAAAATCATACTTGTCTGCATGTATTTTTTGTAGAAGTTGACTTGCTCTAGATATAGACTCCTTTGAAAAGCTAGTGCGGATTTATTTACCCATTAAACATCTTCCACACAACTAATTTAGATATATAATTGATAGCAGACCCTCTTCTTTGTGCCATTATCTTCAAGTTATCAAAATTTGTGTACTCAAATCTCATATGTCAAAGCCAAGTCTCATTTTTATTGTCAACTCCTTGATTTGATTATTTCAAAACTTACGTGTTTCTTCTTCGCACTTGATATTCTGAAGCATCATTTTAGTATGGTGGAGGAGGATAGGTTCCAAAAAAATGACCTAAAAAGGGTGAAATGATTGTTTTAACATTGTTACCAGGATGACTATCAGTATCTATAGGAAAGAATATGGAAATGTACCATTTAGTTACCTGGAGGATAGTAGGATGAAGCTTGAGGTGGAGGTGGATATGGTGGTGGAGGATATGCTGAACATGCTGGGTACGGTGCAGGAGGATAAGGAGTAGGCTGTGGTGGGGGATACGCTGATTGTGGAAACGCTGAACTAGGCGGGTATGAGGGATAAGGAGATGGAGCTGGGTAGGTTGTCGGTGGTTGTGCATGAGGAGTTCCATACGCAGGTGGCGGGAAATAGCGTTGTGAGACTGCAGGATCAGGGTATAAACATGGTGGTGCTGAAGGAGCATAGCCTGTTGCTGCTTTCTGCAAGAAATGACAGTTTATTCAGCTTCCAGCAGTCAAAATATCTTCTCAGGTAAAAGATAAGGGGTATTTTCAGTATATGTAATTGCAAGATAGCTTACGTTGGCATTTACATAGTGCATTATCAATTTTACTTCTCCAGCATACCTGTGATCGGAGAAAAAACGAGAGGCACACTTTAGAAGAGAAGTACTGTTAGACTATTACCAAACAGGTAAAAACACATGTAACCAGTGAATAAATCACACACCATGCTCTGGAACAAAAACAATATGTCTGTGTGCACATATTATCAAATCCACGCCACAGCATTTGGTATATTGATATCTAATACAGGAGCACCAATGCACCTTTATGTTGGCATGAAATAAACCTTGCTAATTTGGTAGAAGAATGGAGGGATTGTGAGCATTTCTTAAGAAACTATTCTATGAACCAATTCATCTCTGCTCCAAAATTATCACTCTATAGAGAAGCAGAGAATTGTATTCTTTCAGCTTCAAAATGGAAAGACAATGTCCTCTCCCAATGAGGGAAGGCAGAATCCTTGTCCCATGTTTGAAACTGAGTGGTAATTTTTTCTCCATCCTTGCCTCACAAAGTTGAAAGCATTCAGATGAAGAAACCTCACTTAATTGCACGCCATGCAGGGGCCAGTGAGAAGAAGTTTACTATATAAAAGTTGATAAACTGAAGTATAAATTGCAGAAAGCACCAAAATGATTTGCAATTAATTTCTGATATGGTATAACATTACCACAAAATAAAAGCATAAAACAGCACGTCAATGAACAATATTTCACATTTATCTGTGTGCATGCTCTCTTAACCGACATCCAATTCAACATCCAAAATCCTCGGGCCCCTTCATTGTTAAGAATTCCATGCTACAATATACCAAAGGGCTTTTAGCTCATTAGTATAGCAAACAAGAGACATAAAGTCTCGTGTTCAAGCCCCAAATTGACCATTCCATCATTAATTCTAAATACCATCAAAATCAAAACGCATATTTTCAATGGTAGCTTATGGCTCCATTCTACTCAAATAGAAACCACAATTTCAGGATATTATTACTAAATGCAAGGAACTAAACAAAAAAAGCCAGACCAATTCTCCTTCGCCAAAAAAAAAAAAAAAAAAAGCAAATTGCAGTTATAATTACCTTCCAGTTTTAGTTTGAAGTGGCCAAGTTGTATCGTCAAAGCCCTGCGAAAGAACTTTGTGCAATTGAATCCTATACACAGTAACATAGTAAAAAAGAAAAACAAATTTCAATCTCAAATTAAAGCCAAAAGCCAAAAGAGTCAGCTTTAAAAATCATAACTAGATCAAAAGGTTAAAGACTAATTACTTTCCCTTGCCGATAAAATCATCAAGAGATAAGGTATTGCTGTTCCAAACACCAACACTTATCTCTCTTAACCCTTCAATTAGTGGAAACATAAACTTCTCTTCGAATGTAGGGTTTTTGCCTCCATCTAAAAAAGAAGAAAACATGTATATCAGTTTTTAACAAAACATGAAATCAAAGCCAAATTGCGATCTAAAAATCGACTAATACTCCTAGAAGATTATGTACCTGTGCAGGTTCTTGTGCGACAGCTATGGCTACCATATTCAACACAAACGTAAGGATCTGGTCTTGATATCCATTCAGTGTCTTTCAGTTTAGTACACCCAACAACTGCATCAAAGAAAAATCTCAAATGACAATCAATTCCATAAGAAAACAAAAAAGAAAATAAAGGGTTTCTTTAATCACGTGAAATAAAACAGAATTAAGCAACAAAAAAAAAATACCAGTGACTTCAAGAAGCTGGCCTTGAATACCAGAAACTGACATTGTACAAGACGGATACTGTATATTTATTGATTTGGTAATAGAAACCTAATAAATGTCTAGACTTTTCTTAATAATGTTTTTCTCGGATCACGAAAAGGAAAATCCAAGTCCTTGGGCTGATAAATGAAACGCTACTCTTTGTTTTTTCTGGAAATGATGAAGCTGTATTTATATGGTAATGATTGGTGGGTTTTTTCTTTGAAAAAAAAAGGATGTCCGTGTCCTTGGAGTTGAAGAAGAAACTACGGTGATTTTGTGGGTGCTCTCCGGGTCGCTAACCGGTTGTTGTGTTTCAGTCGGTGGTTTACGCGCCTTCGTACATAACACGCTCCTTTTAATTTGCCTAGAAATTCCTGCCTTTTAAAAGTCAGTTTTTTCTTCTTCTTCTTCTTCTTCTTCTTCTTTTTTTAAGAATGAATTCAGAGTTCGAAAAACATGCAAAAAATTGAGGTTGAAACAATTATCACCCCCTCAAACTTATTTTTCATTCATATCCTTTTTTTATTAGATATTTTTGCTTTTTTTATTAGATATTTTTGCTTTTTGCTTAACTCTTTTTTTATTGTCAAATTAATATTTTCTTATTAAGTTGACTTGGTATTACGTGTAGTATTCTTTTTCAACTGATTTTAACTAGGTTTTTGTAATGTTAAAGATAAATTTTGATATTAAGTTGATATTTGATTTGATAAAATAAAAATTAATTTTATCTTAAAATTTTAGTGATTTTATTTTAAATAAAAAAATATAATATTTTTTTCTTCTAATAAATAGTATTTTTATCTTAACTTTTTGATTTAATCATTGATGGGGTTAATAAATAAATTAGCTAAAAAAAAATACTTTTTGTGTGATTGAAATGTTATAATTGATATAATGTTTATAATTTTATTTATGTTGCTTTTATCTTTTAATTTAGAGAAAAGTTATAAGTATTGTTTGTTAAAAATATGTTTTAATAAATTTATTATTATTTATTGACATATATAATTGATTTATTTTAATGAATGAATGAATGTATTAAATTTTTAGTTTGAAATTAAAATTTTGTTGATGGTAAAAAAAAAACATTAATGCCTGCACACTTTTTAAGAAAAAAAGTGTTATTTCCTATAATATAGGGCAATAAATAAAATAGCTCAAAATAAAACAAAAGATTTTATTTTTTATGTGAGTATGATGCTATAATTGATATGATTTTTATAATTTAATTTAGAAAAATTTTATGAGTATTGTTCGTTAATAATATTTTTTTATGTAAATTTTGTTAACAAAGGGAGGTGTTTTCTTTATTGTTTTGGAAAAAATTATAGAAATTTGTTTCTTTTAAGTGAGAGGGAAAAAAAAAAGAGAAAGGAACCGATGACTTTTCTTAAAAAGAAAATAAAGCATTGATTTTTTTTCTCATATAGGAAGATACATTGAATATAAAAAATCGTGCCACATGCAATACGGATAAGACTTTTTCTAGTTTCTTAATTAGTCGTTAGTTTTCTCGTTTGCAAGCGTGTTTAATTTTAAATTCTAATTTTTATTTTTTTACTTTTAGTTTTTTTTAAAAGAATGAAGAAGTTTTTGATTATTATTATTTTTTTATTAATTTTTTTATTCAATATTTATTTAATTTTAAATTTATCTTTATAAATTATTTCAGTTTATTTTTTATAAGGCAATGATAATGTTAAAAAAATTCTAATATTTGATTTGTACTTGATTTTATAAATATTTATTTTTATTATTATATAATTAAATAAAAATAATTAAAAAAATAAAATTATTAAACCCAATAAAATCCATCAACTGAATCGTAAAATTAATAGGTTAAGCTGTAAAACACGGGTCATTCTAATATATTAATATCTCAAAATTAAAAAAATATCATATTGATTTTCTTAAAGTTATACCATGCTAAATATGTCTTTAAACCTATCATGTTAAAATAATTTTTATATAATTTAATTTTAAAATTATATTAAAAAAATCATGTTAGAAAATTTTAAAATTTAATTAAATTTAATAACAATATCAAATAATTTTTTTTATGATTTAGATATTTTCTTAACATTTAATTTATCTTTTTAATTCGAGCGAGGGTAAACTAGTAGCTGGCTAATACATTTCTTATTTCTCATTATTGGATGTGAGGTTTGGGCTTCAATAGTCAAATGCTTGCAAGGCGGGGATAACGTCAAACTAAATCAAGAAGAACCAGGCTTACTAATTTTGGAATTCAGTAGAGAAGATAGCAGAAAGAAAGAATTAACAAAAAGGAAGAAGTCTGATGTTTTATTGTAGAAAATAAAAATTACAAGGAAAAGAAAATAAGTATTCTCGCACCACTCAAGAGAATCACACCAAAGACAAAGAACTTTTATTACAATCTATTCAATCCAGACTTACCTTCTTCATTAAATAGAAATACATATTACAGTTATTTACTAGATAACTACCAATTAAGATAAGAACAAACAGTTATAGTTAACTTTTCCTGCCACTTGGAAATATAAGATGATCTTCATCCATTATTAATTAACTACCTCCTTGTCAACACGCTTTGCTGGAACATTCACGTCAACATGCATTGTTGGAATTTTGGCCTGCACAGAATATTTCAATCCTCTGGAATCTACGAAATTTGTAGCTGCTGCAACTCATTGCTCCTTGCTGGAATCTTGGTCGCTTTCATTTGCATCAATTTCCTCTCTTCCTCAGTAACTTGCCTCAGGCAAGTAATGTTCAACTAATCTGTATAAAGTTAAGGATTAAGATGATGGACTTCAGAACCTTGTAGCCAGACTATTTCTGATTTCAGCTTGGATGCCCACTTAACCAAAAACTTATAATAAACTCCCTTCCTGGTAGAGACAAATTGATGGGTTAATATTAAGTCAACAGTTTTTGGTGTAGGCTGAACTTATAGAACTATTGAAGAGGGATCCTTTAATTCTTAAGAAGACATGGAACCTTGATAAATCGTAAGGTCTTCTACATTGAAAATTGGACTGAGCTGGAAATCAGACGGTAAATCAATTAAATAAGCATTAGATCCTAACTTTTTAAGGATCTTAAATGGACCAATCTTCCTGGCGTGTAGTTTGTGATACATTCCAGGGGGGATCTTTCAGGTCGCACTGTGATCAAAACCAAGTCCCCCTCCTTAAAATGCAGCTCCCTCCTGTTTTTGTTAGCATATGCAGTGTATTTAACAACCTGTTCTGCCATCATGCTTTTAAATTCTTTATGTAGGCTCGACATAAAGGCTGGAAAGTCCATTCCTGCTTCACTAACTTTTTGAGGTAGAGGTAAAGGAGTAACATTAATGGGAATCTTCGGTTTTAGTTTTAGCCCATAAACTAATTCGAATGGTGTGATGCCTATTGTCCGATTGATAGAATTATTGTATGCAAATTCAGCCTGTGGCAAAATGAGATCCCAACTCACAGCATGTTCATTAATTAAACATCTGAGTAGATTACATAGGCTTTTGTTGGTCACCTCAGTTTGGCCATCCGTCTGTGGGTGGAAGGCATTGGAAAATAGGATTTTAGTACCCAGCTTAGCCCAAAAAGTCTTCCAAAACTAACTAACAAACTTAACATCCCTATCAGATATAATGGAGACTGGAATGCCATGTAAACGCACAATTTCTTTCAAGAACAGTGAAGCAATATGGGAAGCATCAAAAGTCTTACGATATGGAATAAAGTGAGTCATTTTAGAAAATCGATCCACCACTACCATGATAGAATCATTACCTCGAACAGTTCTTGAAAGGCCAAGTACAAAGTCCATACTCAAATCAACCCAGGGTCTCTGTGGAATTGGTGATGGTGTGTACAGGCCAGTGTTGTGCTTACCACCCTTGTTCATTTGATAAATTCTGCACCTGCTCACAATAGTATTGATGTCCCTTCTCATATTGGGCCAATAGAAATAATCAGCAACCAAAAAATATGTCTTATCTTGTCCAAAATGACATGTCATTCCTCCTCAATGCAGTTCCTAAATGATGAACTCCCATAAAGATCTCTTAAGAACACAAATCCGACCACCCTTCATCAAATATCCATCTATCAGTGTATAATCTGCAACTGTAATGGAAGGGTTGTTGTGCAAGGACTCCCAGACTTCCTTAAAATTTGCATCAGTGTCGTAGTGATCCTTCATAGAAACCATTCCTGAAGAATTTATTGTGAGAAGCAGCAATGGATGAGGTCTGCGGCTAAAAGCATCTGCCACCTTGTTTTCTTGTCTAGTTTTGTGTTTAATAACAAAACTAAATTGTTGCATATAGCTAGACCACCGGGCATATTTAACACTTAACTTGTTTTGATATTGCAGATACTTTAGTGAATTATGGTCTGTAAAAAGAACAAACTCATGATGAATAAGGTAAGATCTCCAGTGTTTCAAAGTCTACACTAGTGCATAAAATTCCAGGTCATATGCTGAATCCTTACCCTGGTTTCATTCAACCTCTTGCTAAAGAATGCAATTGGATGTTTTGCTTAACTTAGCACCCCCCAGTGCCAATATGAGAGGCATCATAAGAAACTTTAAAAAGTTAAGAGAAATCTGGAAGTTGTAAAACAGGGGTCTGTTCCATCTTCTACTTAATGTCATTGAAAGCACATGCTGCGGCAGGAGTCCATTTAAAGCTTTTGGCTTTCAGGCATTCTGTGATGGGAGCCATGATAGTGCTGAAAGCTTTGATGAATCTGCGATAAAAGGTGACTTGGCCATGAAAGCTCCTGACTTCAGAAAAAGATTGAGGCTTTGGCCACTGTGTGATTGCTTTAACCTTCTCAGGATCAGCTTCTACTCCTTGTTAAGAGATGACAAAGCCTAGGAAATTTATTTTGGATTGAAGAAAAGAGCACTTGCTGCGGTTGGCATAAAATTGTCCTTGCTGAAGCACCAACAGAATTTTCTTCAAATGATCAATATGTTCTTCAATATTATGACTAAAAATGAGTATATCATCAAAATATACTACAGAAAACCTGTCTAGAAATGGCTTTAACATCTGGTTCATCACCCTCATAAAGATGCTTGGTGCATTGGTTAAACCAAAAGACATCACAAGCCATTCATACAACTCTTTTTTTATTTTAAAAGCTACCTTCCACTCATCCCCAGGCCTTATGCGTATTTGATGGTAGCCACTATGTAAGTCTAGTTTAGAAAAGATCTTGGCACCCCCTAGTTAGACAAGCAGATCATCTAGTCGTAGGATCGAAAAGCAATACTTAACTGTGTTATTGTTTATGGCTCTATTGTCAATACAGATTCTCCAACTGCCATCTTTTTTTAGGTTGAGTAGAGCTAGTATTGCACAGGGACTTAAGCTTTCCCTGATGAAACCATTATTGATAATACCATGTATCTCCTGCTGTAACTCCTGGTGTTTAGTTGGGCTCATCCGATAACAAGGAAAATTTGGTATAGTAGAGTTTGGAACCAAGTCAATTGCATGTTGTCTGTCATGTAACGGTGGTAATTGGGAATGAAGCTCTTATAGGAAAACTTCTGCAAACTGCTACAATAGTTGTTGAAGAGCAACAGGTAAGACATCCATTGTTTATTGCATTCTCCCCACTACAGCTTTGCAAACCAGTATGAACATAACCGGAGTTTCAAGTAGAGCTTGTTGAAACTTCTGAAATGACAGTATCATGGTTGAATTTTGTTGAAATTCTCTGATGGGCAAGGGCTCTAACACCAACTTCTTTTTCTTGACTTTTAATGAATAAATATTGTCATACCCATTGTAATTCACCCTTCTGTCAAATAACCAAGGTACGCCCAAGAGTAAATAACATACTGTCATGAGAAACACATCACACCAGACTTCATCTTCAAAGTGATTGCCTAAAGAGAACTGTATCACAAACGATGTTGTATCATAACATGATGGTTGTCACTGATCCAACTGACATTGTATGGGGCAGGGTGCCTTTTCTCCAGTGACCTCAATTTCTCCACAACTTCAGTAGAGATAACATCAAATCCACTGTCGTTGTTAATGATCACATTGAGTGCCTTGCCCTTGTGTGCAACTCTAGTATGAAAAATGTTAGTTCTCCTTTAATCATATTCCACTTGTGTTGTGGGAGTAGCGTGATCGGAAAGCATTCTGTGGACCACGCAAATAGGTAAATCTACTGGAAAGCATTAGATAGACCGCGTAAATAGGTAAATTTGCAGCCTGCACCCTCTCCTCTTCCATCTCTTCACTGTCTTCTTCCACCGTGTCTTAGTCTCTGTTAGATGATTCTGGTGCTACTTCAGTATTTAATTTAAAAGCATGTATAATCTTCTTCCCTTTTGTAGGGCATACTGCAGCAAAATGCCCATGTCCTCTGCACTTATAACATTGCGGTCCCTCAGTGCCTACTTTATGCTTATTCAGATTACCATACGCTTCTAGAGTTCTGACATTGTTTATGCTACCCTTCATATTATTCTGCACAGGTGGAGGTCGACTCATACCATGCCACTCTTTCACTGACTTACTTCTGTTGAATATTTGTTGCTTCTCTATCTGCAATGCAAGTTGGTAAGCTTCATCCACTGCAAATAGTCTGGCAGTATACATTTCCTTTCTAATATCTCCTCAGAGCCCTTTTAGATAGTGAGCAAGATTTTGTTGACCAATCTCTATAATCTGGCTCCTCACGGTTAAATCATGAAATCTCTCTGTATATTGATCCACAGACATGTTCAATCCTTGAGCCAATAAAAGCATGTCTTCATATACCATTTGTTCATAGTTGATTGGCAAGTATTTCGTTTCCGATCGAGCCCTCATCTCAGCCCAATCTTGTATTGAAGGCTGGTTTGTGCGTCTCATATATTCTTCTAAAATTCCCCACCATGCATGCGCAGCACCCTTGAGTTTTAATTTAACAAACCTGACCTTTCTGTTTGATGGTACTGCAAACGATTCAAAATAGTCCTCTAAAGATAGCATCCAATCATGGAAAGCATCAGGATCAAACTTTCCATTAAAGTCGGTCATGTCAACCTTCATATATCGAGTAAATTCATCTACCATTCTTCCATTGTCTCTGTATCTATTCCCGCCCAGTTGTTCTCCTACTTCTTCATCATCTATACCTACATTATTACTCCTCTCTTCTATGCCATCTAAACAAACAATGATGATGTCCAAGGTGCGGGTGACTAACTCCATTTGTTGTTGTAATTGGTGTAGCAAGGAAGTGGGGTTATTTTGTGGAAGAGTCTGTTGTGGGGGACTTAAAACGGGTTGTGGAGGTGTTTGATATGGGGGATTCAAATTGGGTTGGGAAGGACCAGGATCCTGCAATCCCTAATTGGGATTACATGAATTGCCACTATAGGTTCCAGGCATGGGAGAATAGAAATCGAAATGTCAGCTCTGATGCCAATTAATGTCAAACAAAATCAAGAAGAACCAGGTTTACTAATTTTGGAATTCAATAGAGAAGATAGCAGAAAGAAAGAATTAGCAAAAGGGAAGAAGTCTGATGTTTTATTGCAAAAAATAATGATTACAAGGAAAAACAAGAAGCCTCACACCACTGAAGAGAATCACTCTCGTTTTGGAATCACACCAATAACAAAGAACTTTTATTACAATATATTTAATCCAGACTTTTCATTAAATAGAAATATATATTACAATTATTTATTAGATAACTACCAACTAAGATAAAAACAAATAGTTATCGTTACCTTTTCTTGCCACTTAAAAATATAAGATGATCTTCATCCATTAGTATTATTATTTTTTTTTAGTCCATTATTAATTTACCGTCTCCTTGTCAACATGCTTTGCTGGAACATTCACGCCAACATGCATTGCTGGAATTTTGGCTTGCACAGAATATTTCAATTCTGAATCTGTGAAATCTGTAGCTGCTGCTGCAACACATTGCTCCTTGCTGGAATCTTGGTCTCTTTCATTTGCGTCGGGGGAAGAAATAGAATGGAAATTTACTGATTTAGGAATCCAAAACTTGTTAACTTTAAGAGGACCACTTTTGTGGTTTTAATTATCTTAGTGATTTGATCAGGGGCACTTTTGGAAGGTGCTTGTTTGGTTTTGCAGCTAATTTAGGGATACAATCCAATATATTAAAAGAACTGAATATAATTATGATGCTTGTTGTTTATTAGATGAATAGCGAAAAACTTTAATATATTATTTAATCGGTTAGTAACGATTCACGACCTTGGTTGAGTTGGCTTGCGCGTGGAACAATATCGGGGACTGTTCAAGAGTTGTGAGGCGCACAAATTTTTTAAATTTTTACATATTAAAATATTTTTTCCGAAAACACAAGGAAACAGTTGAAAGTAGCATGCTTCTCTTTTGTTAAAATTAAGAAACAGCGTCAGTTGATCCAGGATATGTACATTTACAATCTGAAATACAACCAGGAGAACCCACCTTCATTATTGTTAAAAACAAAGTAGAAGAAGAAGAAGAAGAAGAGAGCCCGCCTTCATTAATTTAAAGCAGGAACCAAAAGCAAATGAGCTTACAACTCTTTCCAGATAATTTAAATTTATTAATGTACAGAGCAGTACATTATTTTTTTTTTTTCAATAAAAACAATGAAACAATTCCACTAATTGATGCACAATTATTGTCGCCTCCAGCCTGCCTTTCGACTTACCAAAAAAACAGGCCAGATAAACTTGACAAAACATATGGATTGATCACCAACAGGTACACGTATGCCTAGCAAACTGATTTATGTACAGATCCTTGCAGGAAGACATCAACGCTCGTCCTTGCTCAGTCACTTTCGTAGTCTTCATCATCTCCAAAGGTAAAGACGGATGCATCAGCAGCCATTGCCTTGAATTCACTATGGGAGTTGTTCGCCTCAAGGCTTGAGACAGTTCCACCTACAACTTCACTTTTCAGCTGACTAGTGGCATGTGATTGTTGGGAGCCCCTGTTTCCCAGAGAAAACTGTTCAGTTGCCTGGGTTAAACTTGCAACTTGATCTGATTTACTATCAGTTCCAGGACTAGGAGCTGGTGTGGCAGCACTTTGTCCCCCTGCAGAGGATGCTTGAGCCTGCTTTCGTTTGGAAAATACTGATTCATCTGCCTCACCATCTGAGAACACATCATCTTTATCATTACTTCCTGGATCTTTATTTTGGTTTGGTTCAGCTGTAGCTGCTTCAACTGATGCACGAGCAGTACTTGAACCTTCATCCGACTTCTTCACATCAGTTTCAGCATTTGACCCCCTTGAAACAGAGCCATCATTATCTACCAGCACAACCTCAACCTGAAATCCTGGGGAAGGCAGTTTCCTCTGCACAAAATCTGGGCAGATTATTATGCAGATATAGAAGGCTGAAATTGATATTGCCAAAGGCACAGTCATTCTCACTCTAGTTAATAAATAAATAAAAGATCTAGCTATTCAGGATTAGTTGATTATTACTGCTCCATGGGTAGGCAATCATTCAAAAAAAATTAACAAAATATTCAGGGTCCTGCACCTTAATGAACCCATCAATATCGCTGGTGTTCAAAATTTGTCTATTCTCCATAAATGTCGTGTTCAACCAACTGAAATTGCAAAGGAGCGTTAGTAAGGAACTTCATTCTATTCTTAAAATCTAAAAAGGGATCCATTCATGAGAGAGGAGACTAGAGAGCAGACAAGTAAAAATCCCCTTGGCGGTCATGAAAATGAACTTTGAAGTCTCCAGACACCTCCGTCAGACCAGGCTCTCCTGGCAAAGTAAAGACCATAACTCCTTTCTTGGGAGCACTAAACCAATAATCTTCGGGCTGCACAAAGAAAGAAACATTTGTGAAATCTAAAAGGGGTAAAAGAGTCCAGCAGAGTTCAATGTAGAATAAAAAAAAAATCTTGGGAAGGACACCAGAGGTCCAGAAGAAAACTTTGAGAGTATTGGCATGATACCAATCACTGCCTTGCACCCAATGAGACCTACCGGCAAATCCTTCGTTCTGGGATGCTTTTTTGAGGAGAAGAGAATACCTGTGAATGAGGAAAGCATTAGCGAAAATCCAAAATTTTTATTTTCAATCTCAATGCGGTCTGGCACTCCTCTTGTACACATACACATACACATACACCTAGATGCTTGAGTGGCAGGCACACACGTGTATTCATTGGGCAAGGGTCAATTCAATATAGCTGTCTTTCAATTCATCAATGATCATTATTTAGAAATAAATGAACAGAGAAACAAATTGAGCTTGTTACAAGCCTATGCAATGTAGTCCTACATACTAAACATTATAAAGACAGGTTACAGAGTTCACAAAAAAGAAAACCAGATCTGAGAACCCAATCAGATCAATCAATAAGCTTTATATACACACAGATAAAACCATCCAATACAGCAGACCCAGATAATGACCAATAATAAAGTACGTAGGGAAAAAAAACAGGAATGAAACAAGCAGAAATTGACCTTCTTGTGGTCAAATAGACCGCCAAGCTAAATAAAAAATGCACAGCAAGCATAACACAACACACCATTATGATCAGAGATGGTAATAGATGGCCTGATCCAATATGGGCACCTGTGAAGCCGAAATCCCCTGAGCATGCTCCTGCATAAATGGTGATGTCAGTAGCTACAAAACACAGATGCTTGAAAGAAACATTGAGCCAGAAGTATACCTACGCCCTGGCTGGTTTTCTCCATTGAAGTATGTTAAGATACGCTCAAAATATTTTACATATCTCTTCAAAAAAGGAAAAAACAAAATCTTAGACAAGATATATAGAACCTCAGCTAATAGAGGAAGTATCCTCAATGTGCATTTTTTAATAAACATGCAATAATTAACTCACAATTTGGCTGGGCAGAACAAGCCCCTTCGCATCAAAACATCTCTTCTGGTTGTAATAGTCAATAGACTCCTCCGCGGTAGGGAAGAACTGAAGAAAGATGAAAAATTAGCCTAAGGTGAAAAATCTCAGCAGTAAACATTAGTGTGTCACACTCTATGTTCTTTCCAACTCATCTTCATTTAGGAACATTTAATATTTCTGACCTTTAAGTACAGAAGAAGGCAAGAAATCATCAGCCCTGTCCTTGCCATTCCAGCCTTACAGTGCACAACAACAACATTCTCAATATCCTCCTTTAACCACAAATAAGCACTTTGACAAAATGATATTATCAGCTGTGTTGGGGGGCAATTGTGGTCATCAAATGGAAAACTAGCCACCTGATGCAAGAGTTTGACATAGCAGATATGAGAATCAACCATATGGTGTTCCTCCACGTAGTCCATACCAGGAACAGCCTCAGCAAGATTGAAAATAAACATGAAACGACGACATAGATAATGTTATATTCACCTTTCCTTCAAACAGTGATGCATCATACAGCCTTTCAGAACAAAGATTGTACACTTTATACTTGTCCTGCACATAGAAAGTAAACCAAAGGTAAAACGGAATCTTCCAATACCAGCAATAAAACAAAGATTAAAATTCAACTGCTTCACAAATGGAGAAGCTAACTTCAGAACCAGGAAGTCTCTTTTTTATTTATTATACTGAGACATGGCCCCCCAAAAAAATTATGTTTGCAGCATTAGGCACAAAGATGTAAATTGTAACTTCCCATTAGATGGAGCCAACTTTGAGAAAAATGGGAAGACAACAAATTAAGATCACACAAGGCAGAACTCAGCATTCTTATCAAGACGACAAATATCAATGAATGCAACCATAGCTGAAAATCAGAAGGCATGTTGCATGCATAGAGTGCTAAATGCAAACATCATGCACAGAGCTGCTCCATCCAAATCCCACATGCATGAATTTAGGTGATGCGTAAGATTTAATGTCATGTTCCGAATTGAGCAGAAAGGTACAGCACATTGCATCCACCATGACAAGAGCCACTCTCTTCGAAGCAGCAAATACAGACTAAATGTAACTATACACTTGAGATTGACCTATAATCGAACAATAATGAACAAGCTAAATATCAAATGGAGCCACCATGTTACAATATTTGACACAGAAAAAATGGAATAGAAGTCATGTGAAAGTCAAAAAATAAATAGAGAAAGACAATAACAACAAATATCACTGAATGTGTTGCTACCTTGTGATGGGTCTCAAAAAACTTGATAACTTCTTCCATGTGGTTTCGATAGAACCCCTGCATCAGATAGCTAGATGCATTAACATTGAAGTATTTAGTTAAGACAACATGGCAACTTTATGGTGCAGATTGATCTGCTTACCTCCACATAACCAAAAAACCCAGAGCTCATGTTACCAGCAGGAAATCCCATAGCAATTATATTCTCAGTGATATATGTCATATCCAAATCAAAACCTCCTTCCTGAAGAGAAAGATACAGCCAAGGTTATATAATTAGATGTGAAGTTGGAAATCAAAAAAAATCCTAAATTGAACATAAACTATTTAAAATAAAAGTGAATTATCCTCATGACTTTACTATAATCATAGATTATCCAAGTATGCGGGGAGCATGTATAAGGAACTACTATCTTGAGTACAAAAAAGTGCAATCAGAGACTTCCTCCAAAAAAAAAAAGATGCGCTATGCAAATAACAATAAAGATAGCCAACAGAAAAATAAAAACTATGCACAATATATGTCATTCCAGAACATAATATCTCTTCGCGGTGGAATTGTTTAAAGAAGAACCACCATGAAGAAATCATGGAAGCAATATTAACCAACATACAAAAAGAACAAGAATGAACCCAAAAGGAAAGTAATATATGATCCGGTTATACAAAACTAAAACAATATTACAGAAGCCATCATCCTACCTGATATCTTCGCTTGTTTTGAGAGACAGCATGCCGAGCTTTGACCTGTACTGCCTTCACTGCATTCTTGGAAGTATCAACTAAACCCTTAGTAATTGTTCCAAATATACCAGGTTGTGAAGTTGATGAAGTTCCTTCAGGACTATCATCTGCTGCAGGGGATTTAGGAGACATGCGCAGTCCAAACCCACTAGTAAAACGTGCAAAGGTTGATTTTCCAGCATTTCCAGTAGGTGAGTCATCTGGCGAGGAAGTCAATGGCTGGGGGATTTTCAAACTTTTGGCCCATGATGTTATGCCAGCTGCAGATAGTTTTGATGTCGCATCACTTGCAGAATTCCCGGGCACAGGATCATGAGGAGGTGGTTGTGTATCAGGAGATTTAACAGGTGGCAGTGATGAATCAGCAGTTTCTGAATCCATTCTTGTTCCCAAATGTCCTGATAATTATTGAACAGCAATACTCAAGAAACCAGCATAGGTAGTTACTATAGTGAGCTAATGCAGGTCAAAAATTAACATACAAAAATCATAAGCAATTACTCCACTTACCAAAAGCAACCATCATAAATAAATACCATAAAAATAATTCCAATGTAAAATAGCACCAAAGCCCAAATAACTACGCCTCAACAAAGCATTCCCGTTATTTTTTTCCAATCACAAACAATAAGAATCGTAAATAAAAGAACAACTATTCCACTAAAGAAACGTTAGTTCCCGCGCAGACACGCTCATAGCAGCAACTCAATACTCAAAGACGTAAAACGACATTTTCCGGTGGAGGTGCGGAATGTCTAATGTTATCTGTACAAGCAAGCATACTTCACAAAAATTTAAAATATGAGAGAGCACTGCATCATCGGTATTAGAAACTAGAAATCATTAATGCCAGATGGATTTTAGCTGCTTCCACTCCAATATAGAGTAAAGAGAGTCATTTGAATTAAATTCAGGCTTGAAACACACTGAAACTGCTTGATAATCAAAAGAACAAAAATCAATTAATTCACGCAAGAGTGGATTACAACAAATTAGATTCCAAAGAAAATCGCGGTGATTACACAGCAAAGGGGAGGTCAATTGAATTGAAAATAACAAAAGAGGAATTGAACTCAATGATTTGAGATCTAACCAGTTATTGTTACCTGATTGAGAATCGATCAGTGAAAGATAAATTTAGGTTTGGGGGAGGGGGAGCGCGGGATGGAAGGATTCATGGAGATTGAGATTATTAGTTAATGAAGGGAAGGAAGTTGTTTGTTGCTGACTGCGTTACTTCACGTCAGTGGTTCGGCCGACAGGTTAGCAAAAATAATAAGAGTGATGGCGATTGCTGATTGTCTTTTATTGTGATCCAACGGTAGAGATGGATGAGAAGACCAAGCACTGGGGAAAACGGTACCGTTCGAAATATTAGCAATAAGAATGTCTTTTTTTTTTCTTTTCTTTTTTTTATCATTAGCGATAAGAATGTTTAGGATCTTGAATAAATTAAGTACGAATCCTATTGCAACCCAAAATTAAAATGGAAAAAGGGGTGTTTACCTTTAGAGAATAATTGTGCAACTTGCATGAATAGATTTCTTATATATTCCATAAAAACTCCATTGTTTAGCTTCTGTTTAAAGTAATAAGCAATAGATAAATAAATATAAAAAATTAGGTGAATCAAACAAGGTATTCTTTTGTTTTATATGGTAGAAAATTTGAAAAAACTTATGGATGTTTTTCTGTTTTTTAAATAATAGGAAAAACAGAAAAACACATATTTCTAAGAAAAATTTTGCATTCTTCATTAGTCGGTGCATTTTTAGAAAAATTAGCAATAAATTCTTGTTTTTTCTTGGCATGTATTGCATGATTTTTCTCTGAAATATATTCAGGGGAACTTAAGTCTCACGGAACATAGCTCGTCCATTTAGACTAAGAATTTTATACCATCGCAAGGTCCCTCGACTAGTTAATGGTCGGTCACCAAGGTCTAGTAAATATAACTCAATGGCAAGAACACCTCTTTAAAAGGAAAGAAATTGGCTACAGTTGGATCCGATATTAAAAAAAGGAAAGAAAGAAAGAAATTATATACATGGAATTTCATTAAAAGAAACACATAAAAGAGAGTATTTTAGAATTCTGAAACAATTTCATAATTTTTTTCTGGAAAGTAACAAATATTAAAAAATATCTTAAAAAAATAGCATAATTTATACACAAAATATAACAGCTATTGAAAATAGCAATTAAATATAATTGTTACTGAGTATAACGGTTGTCCTGAAACCATGTCCATAAAAAATCAATTGAAGATTTCATGAAGATCTGATGGTTTAGAACTGAAAATTAAAAACCAATAGTTAAAAAAAAAAAACAATTAGGTTATCGAGATATATCAAATCTTATTTTTTACACACCAAATGTAAAAAAATATCAACAATACGATTCTAATAATACCTTAGAAAACCACAATACATAACCATAATTTATTAGAAGTTAATAATGATTTCATTTAATATTCTTTTAGAATATGGTTAAAAATCTTCTTGTTAAATTTTTTTTGATGATATAAAACACAAAGAGTGGGAGTATGTTTTCAATTACCCATTTTTTATTTTATTTTTTTCTCATTTCTCTCCCCTATTACATCATCTTATGTATTTTTTTTAGTTATTGAATCTTAAATTCTAATTACCCATTTTTTATTTTATTTTTTTTAGTTATTGAATCTTAAATTTAATTTTTTAGCTATTGAATTTTCTCAAAAAAACAAGTTTAATTTTGTTTAAGTTCATTAATTTAAAAAAAAAATATTTGGAAACATTCATACTACTACTATTTCAAATAGAGATTGTATACAAAAACAATATTCACACTTATATATTAAATATTTTTTCAACCTTCAACATTATTATACCAAAACTTTTACCAAACTATTCTATTTTAAAAAAAAAAGTCCATACAGAGGCTACTTAGATGCTACTGCCCTGCCCTTATGATAAAATAAATATATATATATATTATTTTCATAAAATGAATCTAATGATTAAAGGGTTGAAATGTTAAATAAATTCAATAGGCCCACCATCACTATCATGCTAAGGAAACAAAAGGAGGTAACGGATCCCATCGTGCACATAAGATCTCATAAAATAATTGAAATGGGAAAAGTGAACTGGTATTCTAAACAACGCAAGCACACAGATATCCATCATAAACGAAAATCAGAATTTTAGGGAATCAATAGCTGATGATGATAATTACAAATTGAGGAATCATAAGCTTTTAGCCTGCTTCAGCAGCAGGCATTGAAGGTATTTACAAATGAAGAAAAACTAGATGACAAGTTTCTTTGTGGACTAAAGAGGGCCAAACATGCACTCGTGAGTTCGGGCAAAGAGAAGCATTTCCTCCTTGAAGACAGAAATCTCCACTCCTGTACACACTTGACAACATCGAAATATCTCAAACAATGCCGAGTCTCCTACCAGCGGGCCTCTTACCACCAAGCTGGTGAGACTGAGCAATTCTAGCAGGCGCTCGAGTCAATGCCTTAACACCAAATGGATTGTTCTTGCTCTGTCGCATGTCAGCAAACAAGGCTAAAATTTCAGAAGCTGCCTTCACAAACTTATTAAAATTGCACTTCAAAGAGCAGATGGCAATACTTACCATTCGGCAGGTTCCACCTTCAAGGTCACAGACAGGATACTCGTGAGGACAGCAGCTGTAATGGTCATCGCAGCAGGTTGCGGACTCCAGAGGGCAGCAACCCCATCCAAAGCAATAGTCACCATACTGATATATACAGCAGCATGTGCTTCCAGCAGGGCATGAGTAGTAATCATCACACTCTGAGGAAGGTGGAGGAGAAGGGTTCACTGGAGATGGAGGGGAAGGACCAGGATTTGGGGGGTTTGCACCCTTCTTGGTGGGATACGAAGCTTCCATTGCTATTCCACACTTGCCAGTTTCCGTGCTGGCAACATTACGCTCCATCCTGATGTACCCATTCTCTCCCCATGCAGGACCCCATGAGTTCCTGACGACCCAGTAATCTACGCCATTTTCTGTACCATACCCAACAGCAACCACACCATGGTCTAGCTGTGTTCCACATGAACCAGTAAAAACACCCTGAACAAAGAAAAGAGAAACATGAAACCAGGTAATCAATCAATTTGCACAGAGACTACTTAAAATTCATTTTGCGTGACGTGGTACCATTCAGAAATTCATGTCACTTTAGTAACTAGGCTATAAAGGTTAATGAGTTCAAGTTTTTCGGCCTATTATGCATTAGAAACAAATTACCATACAATTCTGACGGTGAAACCTTGACGCTGAGCATAAAATTAGGTAGTAAGATAGGATGCTTACAGACTGGTAGAGTTGGAAAGCCCTTCCACCAGCTTCAATGGCAACACTGACAGGTTGATTTGCCACAGCCTTTCTCAGTGACTTCTCGTCATTTTGGGGAACGTCTTCGTATCCATCAATTGTAACAACTCTAGCATTTTTCTACAGCATACATGATGATCAAAGTGCATTAAGGATGTGCAATATACCAATCTGACCAGAGAACAAACATTAATTTTCTAAAATAGGAAACTTGAGCGGGAAATCGATCCATCACATACCCTGTTTGGATCACACATGCTATCAGTAGCCTTGTAGGGGTAATCTTCTTCGGCATGAATACCACCATTCTTCATAATAAATTCGAAGGCATAGTCCATGAGACCTCCATCGCATCCTTGGTTATACGCTTTATCGTAATCCACCAACTCCTGTTCTGACAGAGATGTCAGGTTACCAGTCACAATCTGGTTTATCCCCTCCACAGCACCAACAGTTGAGAATGCCCAGCAACTCCCTTCAATATATATATATATATATATATAAAAAAACTTCACATTAAAAAATAGCTAGAGCCACTGTAATGCCTTCAAAAATTTTGTAGCTACAAAAACAATATAACAAACAGTTTAACCTGTACAGGACATAAAAAATCCCGTATAAACGAAATTTAGCTACCAAATAACAGAATTGGATTATGCAATTCTTGTCTGATCTTATTTTAAAACCTAAGAATCACATCAAAAACTTCAAATCATATTAACCAAATCCCTTTTAATCTGACGAGAGAAAAAATACCCCACAAAACATCTATTCTGAGATATAACAAACAGACACATAACAATATCAAATGATTGCGGTAGTTATCACGGTCAAACGAGGAAAATCCCAACTAAGAACATCCTTAGAGAAAAACATGCCCCTGGTCCCACGCTCACTATCAAATCCAAGCCCCCGAAATAAACAAACACAAAAAACAAAAATAAGGTTAAAATCCAAGGAGAATCTGGGAGGGAATTATTTCCCAGGAAGAAAAAAGGGGGTTAATCTCGATTTGCTGTCCAACAACTGATAAAAAAAAAAAGGTAAAGAAGAAACAAAAACATACCACACTGGCCTTGATCTTTAACAGGGGCAACAGCTCCTTTTTCTCTCCAATCAACACTCTCCGGCAAATCATCACCGTCCTTAAACAAATACCTCGCACTCTTTGGTCCACCCAACAACCTTCTCTTCCCATCCATCCTCGTGCCCAAATAAGCCGCCCGGTACTCCTCATTACTCAAATCCGCAAACTTGTTTAACCCAAGTTTATAACTAGGGTTCCCAACCGAGTTATGTTGGTCAACGAATTTAAGATTATCCTTGAAAATTTCAAATCTTCTTTCTTTTTCACCCAAAGCATTATATGCTTTCCCGTGTTCGACTAGCCACATCTCGTAGAGTCTTAATGTCTCCGCCTCTGTTCTTTCTGGGACTTGGCCATGCTTTAAGTTGTAATCAATTATGGACATGTCTATGGCTAGACAAACAGAAAGGAAATAAAACGTAGCCAAAAAGGCAAACGATCGATAAAGAGAAGCCATTGTTTTGTGAGTTCTTTTCGTTTGTGTTTGCATCAGCGTTTTGTGGTGAATCTCCAGGGACGGGGGTATTTATAGGGTAGGGAAGGAAATTGAAGGGGACGGGAAAGTGGTGGTGGTACAGGAGACGGATTGAAGGAAGGTGCGTTGTAGTAGGAGGGTATGTATCTTATCCCGCAAGTTCGTGGGTCTTAGGTGGGTCCTCCTTATATTTGGAGTGTGTGTGGTGTCCACTGCTCCTTTTATTTTTGTTTTACTATAATTAGGATTTTTTTATAGACTGTATTTATACCCTTATAAT